CTCAGGTCGCCGCCCCGCCGTTTCCCAGCTTCCAGCTGCCTTTGAATAAGTTCATAAATGTCTGAAACTCCTTGTTCCAGGTTAGCTAACAACGTCCTTCTCATCGGATTGTTCGAGGAATGAATAAAATGGCCTTTGTATAGATGGTGCTGGCGAGAGTTTGTTCCCTTTCACATCACTCAGGGGAGGTGACAGGCACCCTCGTGGCCTGGGGAAAGGACGCAGGAGGGTTGTAAAATGTTTGGGGCAGATGCTGCCTGCAAAATCTCTCCAGGAGTGATGCGAGCCCGGAATGGGGGTCCCAGTCTCTGTGGAGAGGGCGGCAGATGGAGGGGAGCCGATGACACAACAGAGTGACAAGGCCTCCATGGGGAGGGGAGGCCCGCACCCCAGAGCAGGGCCTGCGTGCTTCCTCTCTGATCCCTGCTGTTCTTCAGGACCAGGTCAGACTCAACGCATCTGCTTCCCGTGCGCTCTGAACACATGGTTCCAGCTCCTGGGCTGGTGGAGCGGATGAGTTTAGCATCAGAAGTCTTATAAAGTCCACTCCTGGGCATCTGAGCAAACACAAAATCACCTTCTGAAATGAGCAAGCTTCAAACTGTGAGATGCCAGGGCATCTGAGAGCCCAGTTTGTAACTACGTGCTAAGAGTGGATATTCTTAACCAGTTTCTGGTCTCTGTGGTGCCTTATCCCTACCTCTGACTCTGCCAAGCGATCTTCCTATCAGTGTGGCACCAGGGAGAGTTACTGCTTTGTGAATGCATGGACCTGACATCTGCTCCCATCTTCGCCCTGAACTTGCTGTGTGACGTTGACCAAATCACTTTCCCTCTCTGGGCCTCAGTGTACTCAGTTATAAGATGAAGGGGCTGAGTTTTTAGGTGGCTTTTTTATTACTTGAGACTGAAAAACATCCTGAGAAATAGAGAGATTGTGGGCTCCTCCGTCAGAAAAGTGGCTCTTGGAGGGTGGCCTGGTCCCTGAGACCTGGTACAGTGCATTGCGCAAACCTGAGGCTCAGTAAATACTTGTTAGACAAAAAGTAGTTGTCTTCATTTGTGTTTGTAATTGAAACATGAAAAAAAATAAAGTATCTTTCTTCTCTTTTAAAAAAAGAGGGGGCTGACCTAGACGTCGCCCGCACCCTCCCCCCCCCCCACCCCGCCCCGCAGTGGTCTTCTAGCTGGCCGTTATATTTAAGTATACGACTCCTGCCTCCCCAGCGCCCCCTCCCCTGCCGGCCCTGCCAGCTGCTGTCTCCCTGGAGAGGCCCGATCCCGTGCCGGCCGCCTCTGGGCCCTGGGGCTCCCCAGCGCCCTGCCTCGCGCGCACCGAGGGCGCCGCGCAGTGACGGCGGTGTCCCGCTTGCACGCGGGCGGCTGCCTGCCGGTCTCATTGCGCTGGAGAGGCTCTGCCTTCGTGCAGATGGCATTTTTGTCACTGGCAAAGGGCCAGGACCGACTGAGCTTGCATGGGGCAGAGGCAGCTGGCGGGCTCGCGAGTCCTCTCGCAGCCCAGCCCGGCCCTTGGGGACCCCACGCAGGTCTGCGTCCTCTTGCCCCAGGAAGAAGCCTGAAGGGGACCCACCCCTGGGGACCGGTGGTCAGGGGCAGGTGGGTCGCCGCATTAGACCTTTACAGTCCCCTAGGAAGGTCACCAGCTTAAGGGGGAGGAAGGGTGGTTATGGGGACAGAAAGGGGCCCCGGCTTCCCGCGGCGCGGCGGCTCCGGCCCGGGATGGGAGGAGGAGCCGGCACTGTGCGCCCCGGGGCGCGGCGGCTCGGTGCAGCCCCCGCGGCCCCTCGCGGCTGCCGAGACGAGCACAGCTTCCCGGCTCCTCCCGCGGCCGCCCGGCCGGCCGGACCTCTCCGGGGCCGCGCCACAGGCCCGAGCGTCCCCCTCTGCGCTGCTCCCGGGGGGCGCACACCGGGCACCAGCGGAGACCAGCGACTGACACACGGCAGAGGAGACCTCCCGCGGCGTCGTTCCCTAGGAAATGGCTGGTCCTTAGCTCCTCCGCAGCTTGACCTGCGCATCCGCGTAACGGGTGGCCTCGGGCTATCCGCACCTTGATGGAGACTAAGTAATGCTCATCAGCACCGCGCATCCGAGGGGACTTAGGGAGCGGACCCGCTGGCAGAGCATTTGCCTAGGGCCACAGGCTGAGTGGCTGAGCTGGGATTTGAACACGGCTTCTGGCTTCGGAGTGCACGCTCTTTCCTGTACTCCACACTGCCTGCCCCAGAAGATGTCAGTGTGCGACCCATGGAAACCTGGAGATTTCTAACACATGGCATTTGCCATTTCTATACCACACACCTTTAATACGAGTGGCAAGACATTTCTTAAAGTACCCGTATGTCAGCAGCAGCGGAGGAGTCACTGGATTCTTGCAGACAGAGCTAGATTTAAGGACTGGGTCTGACACGCAGCTGTGTGAGCTCCCCCAAGCTAGCATCTGGGGACTCCAACCTCCTCCCTGAAATAAGGGAAATAATGTGTGTCCCACCTACTTCTTGGGCCTGTTGCAAGGGTCAGATAAAACCCTGTGTGTGAACATATTTTATAAAGTTAAGTTCTATAGTAATCCTAACTTTTATTTTCGAGAAAACTCAACCTATAGGTTACCAACTGATATCTGGAGCAAAGGAAAGAAAAGCAACTGATATTTACTGAGTTTTTTAATGTCCAATGTTACCAGTAACCTAAGAGTTGCCAATTAAAATAACACAATACCATTTTTGCGGTCAATGTGAGAGTGCTGGCTGAGCACTTCCACACACTGCTGACGCACCACTAATTGATACAAATTCTTAAGAGCAATTTGTAACATGTACCAACAGCTTTTGGCTTGGGAATTCCACTGCTGAGAATCTCTCTAAGAAAATAGAGACGTAGAGACTATTTTATGCAGAAAGATAGTTTTTTTTTATAAGGGGGAAATTGGAAGCAACTTAAATTTTCAAACGCTGGAGAAAGTGGTAAGAGCCTTTAGCTTCTGCCTGTCTGGTGTCCCTTCAGCTGACGTAACTTCTCCTTTCCTCTGAGGAGACCCTGCGTCCCCCTGCCTGCGGTGCTGACCGCTGCTGAGCTGGACCCCGCACTGCAGGGAAGGACACAGGCCCCAGGCTCGGCCAACATGGGCACCCTGTCCCCAGACACAGTGACTATTCAGGACTGCTCTGCTGGCTGGGAACCATACAGCCTCTCTGCTCCAGGACTGCTGGCTGCAGTTAAAACCAGCACAGCGGGAAGAGGAGCCAGGAGATGAAGATGGAATTCTGAAGGCACATCTTAAGATCAGTGAACCCCTCTTTTTGCTTAAGCCACGTTGAATAGGGTTTCTGTCACTAGCAACAGAGTCCTCACACAGACCATTATTTGCTAGCCAGGGTAGACGGATCTGATGAAATATTGTGCGGCCATTCTAAACCATCCTTATGAATGGTTTCCACCAGCATAACAAGCTAGTGATTAAGTGAAAGCGTGATGGACAGTCAATATACAGCCTGGTCTTGACTAGGTTTAAACACCTTCATAGAGGCAAAGATTGGAAGAAAATTCATCAAAATATTAGCAGCCATGCTGGCTGGTGAGATTATGAATTTTTAAACTATCTTTATTTTTCACACAAATAGATCTTACAATAAATACTAAGAAAAAAATAAGAAAAAGATTAAAGTTTTATTGGTTGACTTATTCCAAAAGGACTTAAGTTATAATTGTCTTTCCAGATGAAAATTTATAGAGCATCTGGTTCTGAAGTGACAGTTTGGAATTTCCCTAAAAAATATTGACCTACCAGCTTTACACAAACTAGAACATTTTTTCAGTGTTAAAACTGAAAACACGCCCCATTATGGGCAAGTAGAATCTCTTCTTCAATTACTTTGTGATCTTCAGTCTGAATATTACTAAGAAGGGAAACACGACATTAACCACCTCAGGTCAGAATATTTATGCGTTTATTTCACTGAGCCCCTCCTCGTGCCATAAAGGATTTTTCCCCACCCCACTACATACCTGCAAAGAATTTGAACCTGGCCTAGAAGACAGAATAAACTGTGATGATTGGTCATGGTGTGGTAAAGACCAACAAGCAGAGATTCAAGGCCAGCAGGATCCACCAAATGCAGCCATCTGGGCTCAGCATCTTTGGGCTCCTCAGCCACTCCCTCTTTCTCCTTTTAATTTTGTCTTTTCTTGACCAGAAGCTGCCTTGCTTTCTGGGCCAAAGCCAGTCCCTGTCTGAGACTCATCCCCTATCTGGTTCTGGCCCTGGCTCTGCCCTTCTTGTGCAGCAGGTGGGCTACGGGGGGACCCGAGGCACATGGCGTTGAGGGACAGTGCGATAAATCCATGAAAGCCTAGCAGCAGCATGAGGCCCCTGCTGGGCTGCCTCCACCCCAGTGTCATCTCGAGACTCTGCACTTCCCACCCCACCCATGGTGTCATTCTTCGGGCCTTGACCTGCTCAGCTGTACAACAAACTGGCATTTGCACAAAAAGTAGTCTACAGTGCCCTCTGGTGGGCAATCAGAACATAATAGGGACATACTCTGCACACTGAATTAAAAGGAATCTGCAGCGCCTGCTGAGAAAAACTGGGTAACTTTCCACTGTGATAATGGGATCTTACCTGAATATAGATATGTTTTTATAGGGCACCAAAAGATGGAGACAAAACTCGCAATAAGTGAGTAAAGGGAGAAAACCAGACAGACACCCTCCAGCTCATTCTATCACAAGGCACCTTGGCAACCCAGGCCCTGGGGTGAGACCCTTATGAAGGCTGCATTCTGGCCAGCCCCCAAATTTGGGGACATAATGAGCTGCTTACCAATAGGAAAGAGTCGAGATATTCACTTCAAGCTTTGAAGCAGTCAGTGGTTGATTTATGAGCAGGCTAAAATAACACAAAAGGGTTCTGACCATAGACAAGGAAACGAAGTGTAATAAACATTAACATCTACATTTAAGAAAATAAATCCAACACGTTTCATTAAAATAATGCTTTTAATTATTGGTGCTTTAAATACTGAACCCATTTTACCAAGTTTGACATAAATCATTTTTCTTAAACACAAGCTGTTTGCTGGATTCCAGGTAAGTTCATTTTATAGTTACAAGCATGATTCATGATTCATATTCAACTTCCTTTCTCTTAGCCATTTGAAGACTCAGCGGCTTGATTCACAACACCTCTTTACAAGGAAGCTCACCTTCTGAAATCAAGCATGTCAGTAGTAAAACTGAATAGTTTCTTCTCTTCTGAAGAAATGTGATTTTTTTTAAAAAAATGTCATGTTACCTTCCCTTTGATCACCTGATTTAAGTAGTCACAGCGTTAGGAGCAATTTAGGGACTCAGAGCAGTTGAGGAAGCCTAGGTCACTGCTGAGGCAGCATTATTAACACAGCCATGGGGGGGGGGGGGGGGGTCGTATGACTCCAGCTGAGGTGACGCATGTCTGGGTTAACTCTGCTTATCAAAGAACGAGAAACAACTTACACACAGAACACCCTCCTGCCTTCTTTTTCTTTTGCAATCCCATTTTGGGGCAAAAGAATAATAATAATGTGTACGTGTGTATGATTGTGTGTTTGGGTGGAAGAAACAAATTATACAGTCTCCACTTAGGTGGGGAAATCAAATTCAGGAAAAGTTTCATGAACTTTTTTTTATTCTAGGTAATTATTGCCCCAGATTTGAAAACTTAAAAAAAAGAAACAAAGTTCTTTAATAGTTTTGCCCTGTGTTGGATCAACAATACCCAGGACTGTCAGATGTGAATGGGCCACAAGTAGGCAGCCCCATTTGGGTTTCATGTCTTGGCAAGATTTATTCGGGCACTTACAACAGGAGCCCACCCCTTTGCAGGCTCAGGGCAGCCGGGGTGAGCGACGCCCTCCCCCAGGACAGTGGCTTCCAGGGACCCATACACACCCTCAAGCACCTTCAAATGCCAGCGGGCAGTCCAGCCTGGGGCCTGCCCCTCTTCAAGGAGCACCGCTGGGAAACTATTCGGAATCGATGGGACAGAATTTCTTTGATCATAATAAAAGACATGTCTCTAAGAAAATGGCTTCAAAATATGAACAAAATATCTAGCAACCACATCTTCCAAGAAATCCAGTAACAGGGCCACCTATTCCTGTAAAGAAGCAAGCAAGCAAACAAACCAGCATGTGAAAGACAAGTGGCTAATCTTCCAGGATCCTTCCAGAGAGAAACATTAAGCCCTTCAAGTCTGATGAGCCACCCCAAGCAACCTCACACATGTGGTTAAATTCTCCATATTCTGCTTCACCTAGAGAAGGGAAGAGAGAGGAGAAAGAATTAGTTCATTCAACTCGGCTGACAAATCTTAAAAGTAAATTCATTCTAGGGAAAGACTAGAGAAACTTCTGATCTAAAAGTTTAAGATTTTGAGTTAATTTCAGCCACTTTAATGTACTGAAGGATCACCCGAGTGGTTAAATGCAGATTCCTGAGTTCTGGGATCAACAGGTTTAGGGCTGGGCCTAGGAATCTTCATTTTGGCCAGCACCCCTCCTCTCCAAGCATGGCGCTGACACTTTAGTAAATGCTGCTGTGGTTATCTCATTCAGGGCTATCCGAAGGTTTAAAGGACAAAAGCTGCTGAGAGCAGACGGGGTCCTGAGCTTTAGGGCAAAAGAGCAGCAGTTAGCCAGTGCCTGACCACCCTGAGTCCAGCTGGGCAGGTGCCCTTGACCCCAGCTATCAGGAAATCCTTCTCCAGGTAAAGGAGACGGAGCAAGTTTGTAATCCGTGACCTCTCGTCACCTCTGTCCTTGCTAGGCAACACGTGGGCACCGCAGAAGAGACGAGGCCTGGTGCAAACACTCTGCTGCTCAGACCCCACAGCGATAGGAGGCAGCTGCTCACACTTAGGAGAACTGTTTACTCAAGGATGTCAGCAAATTCTCCACGTAAACATTTTAACCTGCCACTCAGCATGCAAATATGTTTGTGGGGTCTTGACCCAACAGTCCAGTGAGGTGAACCACATTCAGCTGGCCCCACAGGACCCCTACCAAGCAGCACTTGTGTTGAAGCTTCTGAACAGACCCCATCCGAGTGGATGCAGAGGCTTTATGGCATCTGTAGAAAGACCATCTTCCGGATCTAACCTGGGTGGGCCGGGCAAGGTGGCTGCCATTTGGGGAAGCCCCAGAATGCTTGTGAGGCCCCTGGGAGCACTCCCCAAGAAGGTACAGGCCTCAGCCCTCTCAGACACCATTGTGACACTGCACGGGCTATTACACAGCTCTGGCGGCCCATCGCGGGGTGGGATGGTGGGGGCCCACTCCTGGCCTCTGAAACAGACAGGTAGCACGCAGAGGCCCGTGCTCAGAAACATCAGCCTGAAGGCACTGCCCGTTCCTGGGATTCTGGAGTCCTGCCTCAGAAGGGGTCACACAGTGGACAAGGAGAAAATGCTCCCTCTTATCTCTGAGCTGCAGAAAAGGCTCACTCGTCTGTGTAATAAAGTGGGAGCCTCAAATTTATCTATTTTATTCACTTATTCAGCATGGAGACTTATGGGAATTTTTACTTTGCTATTAAAGTAAGCATTGCCCTTGGGCATGTTATTTATACAGAGAAACTATACGTCAGAGATTGTCACGTCCCGTGAAAGTGAACTTTCACCTCCGACAGCGGGCTTGTCATCATACTGGCCATCCTCCTTGATAATTTGCTGCCCAGTCATAACGTTGTAATTGCTACTTCCACATTCCCATAAAGGAAGGTGGCCCTGCCAGCCCAGAGACAATGACTGGCCCACGCCTCTCTCCTGCATGCACAGCAGCAAAATGAACACCAGGACTGCTGGATTCTTTACTCAAACAAGAAGTTGAGAACCTTTGTCTCAAATTATCTGCTGTACAAGTAGCCAGTATTTACTAAACAGCTGCTCTATGCCATGCACTGAACTAGGCCACGTTCAGGATAAAAAATAAACACAAAACCTGAACTTTGCTGTGAAGAAATTTAGAGTCCTGGTGGGGAGTCAATAGTTCAACATGGAACTGTCCTACAATAGAATAAGACGATAAATAAATGCTAAGAATTTAAGCCCTAAAAGGAGCTACAGCCTATAAGTCTAGCTGAGCATCAGCGCCCTAAGCTCCACAAACAGCGGTCGGTCGTTACAAGCAGGAAGCACATTATAAACGACACTGGATCAGAAGGCCCCCGGCTGCCAGTGGGGTAATGGGGGGGGGGATTGGGGGGGCAGATCGTCATGGTAACAAGCCAGGTGAAGGCTCTGGGGCCAGGACGCCAGAATTTGGATCCCAGCACCATCCCTCACTGGCTGCCTGACTTCAGGCAAGTTTCTCACTTTTCTGTGCATCAGCTCTCAGTCCTACACACAAGGAAAATCATCCCCTAACTGGGACGGGTGTGGAGAGAATTCAAGGAGTTAACACGTGTAAAGCACCCAGTGTAGCAGCCAGCCAGCCAGCAACACCCAATGCTGCTGTCAGTGTTGTTACCACCGCCGGCTCAGCCTCGAGGATGTCAGAGAGGCCAGTTACCTGTGTCACCGGGAAAAGCACCAGTCCCTGTACTCCTTCACTTCAACCCTGACCTTCTTGCAAGGCATCGGAAGACATCCTTCTTCCCTGTCCTTTTCCCAGTTCTGTCCTCCTTCATTCTCTCCCATTGGCCCCACCGGTGTCAACCGCCCCCCTCCATGTGTCCACTTCCTGGTGGGATAAGCCACACAGCCCCACAGGCACTCACAGGGCTGGGGGCTGAAGGGGATGGGGCCACATGCTCAGACTCAGCTGTGGATCATTCATAGTCCAGAAGCAACCAAGACTGATTCTCGTGAGAAAATGCCATCATGGGGCAGAACTGGGCTCCATCCAGGGCCCCACAAGCAAAGTCTCAACACAGGACCTCAACCTGGCGTCCAAGCCTGCAGATAGAGTTCAGGGGGTCTGTGATGGAAGAAAACGTTTTCCTTTTCATTTAGCTCTAACTGAAATTTATCATTTCCTTCAATGATGAATGTAGGCAATACACCAAAGCTGTGATAGCACTGTGACTGTCACCAACAGAAATAGAGAAACTGTGGATGCTTTCATATCACAAGAAGTCATCAAAGATCTCTTACAATACTGTTTTCAGTCCTCACTACTCTGAAAGTAAAGCTATACACTCACCACTAGACCTTAGCATTCAACGTGTGCGTTAAAAAGCCGACATATTACTAGACCACACATTAAAAAAATATTTTTATCAATGTATTTCAATATAGCTGGTCTCCTTTGTAATCCTATGTATTTCGTGCATTTAAAAAATGTTATTCTGAGGGTGGTTGTAGGCATTACCAGCCTGCCAAAGGGGCCCACAGTGCATGCAATGGTTAAGACCCCCTTTGCTTAAGAAGGTTGAGGACGACCAAGGGCTGGAATATTAGAAAGGTGGAAGACGCGTAAATACTTACTGAAATGTGACGTTGTAATATTCTTCAGGCGTCACTATTTTTGGTCCCCCAAAGAAGTCCAGGACCCAGATATTGGTTATGTTCAACTTAGCGAAGAACCAATTATGGCTGGAAGGCCAGGTTTTCATCTCAGGGTGTCGAATGAATAATGAACGCTTTGCAAAGTCCACTTCTGTTTCATTCACCTAAAGGACATATGTAAGATAAACATTCTCACGGCAGTGACGTTTTGTTTTCTCAAATCCTAAAGAGTTTATACAATTATAAATGTTGATTTAAAATTTTTATTCCTTAAAAAATTGAAATATAATTGACATAAAACATTGTATTAATTTTTGGTGCACAACATAATGATTTGATATGTGTATACATTATGAAATCATTACCAGAATAAGTTTAGTTAACATCCATCACATCAGTTAAAAATTCTCTATTTTTTTTCTTGTGAGGAGAACTTTTAAGATCTACTATAAATCCTGATCTCAAACTTAAGGTTTCAAGAGCAAAGAAAGGAAGCTGGAAGAAATGCAGAGAACAATGAAGATTTCAAATGTGAATGATAACAGACGTAATGAAGTGGGAAACCGTCGGTACCAATTTTCATCGTTGCACAGTAATTTTGGCACAAGATACTATAATAAAATGTTACTGGTGCTTACGCCATATAACATTGGCACATTTATCCCATAACCAGCACACGTGAAAGACGCAGATGCGTGCACACAACGGAAGGAAGTCTTCAGAAGCACCATGGAAATCAGGAGCACTTGCCGCCCGTCCTCCTTTCTCCTGCCGTGGACACTCAGCGAGAGATGTGTCCACACAGACCTTCCAGACCATGAATAAAACTTGTCTGAGCATTCACGATTGACAAGGTCAGAAACCACATCTGCTGGCCTGCAGTGAGATCAGTGCTCGTGAAACCTTGCCCTCTGCCCTGCCCATGGTTTTACTGAACCTCCTCCCTCCTGCACTCATCTGAACTGTCTAAACGAACTTCCAGAATTTAGACCGGACACTTCCCTTCTAGTCTCCCTAGGACGCTCTCTGCTCTCAGCCACTGTCCACATACAGAGGCGAGGAAGCCAAACACGGGAAATACCCCACAGCCTAAAACAAGGCGGGGAGCGGGGAGCTTTGCCTGAGCAGACGTTCCTTATACAGACACTTCACAGCTGTTACATCTGTGTGCCTTCAAAAAATAGCTCATTCTGGGGCCAGCCCGGTGGCACAGCGGTTAAGTGCGCACGCTCTGCTTCGGCGGCCCGGGGTATGCCAGTTTGGATCCCGGGTACAGACGTGGCACCACTTGGCAAGCCATGCTGTGGCAGGCATCCCACATATAAAGTAGAGGAAGATGGGCATGGATGTTCACTCAGAGCCAGTCTTCCTCAGCAAAAAGAGGAGGACTGGCAGATGTTAGCTCAGGGCTAATCTTCCTCAAAAAAAAAAGTTCATTTTCCTCATAGATATCTTACTGAACACTTAAATGAAAGCAACTGATTAAAACATTGAGTTTTCATGAAATTATACACTAGAACGTATTCCACCTCTGTATCTCAAGCATAAATCAATTTTATGTTATTCTCAAAATCTCTCTTCCTTCGTTGTTGATAATATGATGCTCTTCTAACACCAGCCTCTGCTCCTGTGGGATCACCATTTACCTTGGTAACAGTTCCTGCCAGTATTATGTGAGCACAGAGGGGACTCTGGGGATCATATCCATGTTTCCTGCAGAAGTCAGTCTGTGCCAAAGACATGGTCAGCGTAGCATGCGGATTCTCCTGTAGAGAGAAAACGAAGACCCTCTCATGTGAAACATTGTCTCTGGAGAGCTAATACATTTCACCAGCTGCATACACACCGTCCCCAGAGCTTGACCATTCTTCCGTCACACAATGAATTACAAACCACCACCTTCCACTCAGGAAAATCACTACTTGGACGAAAGACTGATCCTGACCCTCTCTCCAAAAGTGGGGGAGGGGTCATATTTAAAATGAACTGACTCAGTAAGAATTATTTTTAACACTTTTTTCCCCTTAAATTCTTAATTTGTCCCATATTCACCAGAGGAAATATAATTATAGTACCACCCAAACACAAGGCTGGGCTATGGCCTTCACTGAAAGATGTAAAGGTTAGACTCTAATGTGGAAGTAGCGCATAAAAATACCACAGTTGCTCAACTGGCTAATTGTACAATTTAAGCAAGAAATAGCTGACTCATGCTTCTTGGTTATCTTATGCTAGCAGAAATTGTCATGTGATTTCAAAATGGGAGAAGTAGCTCACTCCTGCTCCAGCAACAAGAGAAGAATTGTTGGACTCAAACAGTGAAGCAAGCAAAATTTCTCATTCTTTCTTATTCAGAAATCAGCTCCATAAAAGGCACCGTTGACAGATTACAGCAAAATCCACACGTTGCATTGAGCACTTTAAACTCCAAATGTCTTGTGTGGGAAATTTTGCCCTTTCACAGTGACCCATCAAAATAGTGCCATAAAGAGATCTCCTTGAAATCCTTTAGCCAAATATTTGCTGTCTATAAACTATTAGGCAAAGCGTCTACAGAAGACTAAAAAAAAAAGGGAGAGTGGGATTCAGCTAAGGTCTCTCCCTTCTCTGAGTTTATAACCTGATTGAAAAGTCAGACATAAACAAAACTTAACACAAAACAAAGACAGAGAAGAGGTCAAAAGGCAGTGCATAACTAACTGCCAAGTGAGTGGTACAGTTAAATGTATTCGAAGCTCGGTGTTAGGAGCTGTCAGCATAGCCTGGAGTGATGTGGAAACTACGGGAGCCTTACAAGATATTCAGAATCAGGACAGGAGTGGGAGGTTGTATTATAGTTGTATATACAACTATAGGTTGTATAGGGGAAAGTCTAAGACAGGACTGTGAGTAGTGAGAAACCCAACGTGCTTGAAAGAGAGGCTTTCTGAGGGGAGGGAGGAGGAGGGCAGAGTTAGGGTAACTCAACTCCAAGCTCAGGAGTCAAGACTACTTTGTAGGCTGGCGTCCGTCAGGGCTTTCCAAGAACAGCCGCCTGGAGAGCTCGTTAAAATGCTGATTTCTGGCTCCACTACCAACCCAGGTACCTGCATTTTAAACAAACACCCCGGGTGAATCTTACGCAGCTGTAAGCAGTGGATGCTGTTAAAGGTTTCAGGCAGAGGGCAATGCTGAGTGGCATTTTGTTCATGTAAATCTGGTGGGCAGGGTGGACAGGGGCAGACAGGGAAAAGACACAGGTCAGAAGGAGGAGAAAAAGTGGACGGTATTAACCAACCTTGACTGGTTGATTGATGGAATCAGTCAGACTAATTCTGATGTGGCCAAGCCTTTTCGATGCCATCATGGAAACTACAAGTCCTGGGTAGGTTCCTTACCACTGCCTCTTTCTAGAGATGTCAAGGACCTGGGCTGGAGTTCTACCTGACAGCCATGAGCTGGCTAGCCACAGCTGAGTCCCTGCACCTGAGTCTTAGTTTCCTCATTCCTACAGTGGGGATAATAATATGGGCACAAGTTTAAATTAAATATAATCGTTGTATGGAAGTGGTTCTCAATCCCCCCCCCCCCCGCCCCCCCATTAGAAGCCTCAAGGAGGGATTCCGGCAGTTGGGGGTTGTTTTTTATTGAATGCGTTTTTAATAAAGTGCCTTGGCATTGCCTTTTTTTTTTTTTTTTTTAGGAAGATTAGCCCTGAGTTAACTACTGCCAATCTTCCTCTTTTTTCTGAGGAAGCCTGGCCCTGAGCTAACATCTGTGCCCATCTTCCTCTACTTCATATGTGGGACGCCTACCACAGCATGGCTTGCCAAGCACTGCCATGTCCACACCCAGGATCCGAACCCCTGAACCCCGGGCTGCCAAAGCAGAACATGGGCACTTAACCGCTGTACCACCGGGCCGGCCCGTTGGCATAGCATTTGTAGGTCTTCCCAGGCGACTGTACTGTGTATGTGCCTTGGCTAAAGGAGGCAGCTGCTTCTGTTTTTGCTCAGCAAATGCAGGCCTCCAGAGCCACAGATCTTCCAATTTTTCAAGAAGTTAGACATTTAGGGTTTTAATTGAAATCTCAGTTTTCAAAGGTTGGTAACTAATTTATTAAAAACAACACAGAACTCTGTGTGGGCCAAAGGAAACTGGTCTGTGGGACATATTCAGTTCAAAGGCAACTGGACCTGGGGTGAAATCCAGTTTGGCCATGGGCTCTGGGCAAGTTCCTTAACCTTCCTAAGCCACAGGTGCTTCTGCAGTAACACCCACCTCAGGGGTTATTTAGGGATGAATGGAAGACATCTGGAAGGTGAAGGGCGGCCTGGCCCACCACAGATGCTTAATCAAGTATCAGTTTCTTTCATCTTTATCCACAATGTTGTACTTTCCCAGTTAACCTCAAAGCTGGGATCTTTCTCCAACGACCCTCCACCAAATCAGGCTCTGTTGGCACACTGCATGGCTCTCGCCTCCCAAGCTCTGTCTGTGACCCCTCTCTTGGGACAGCAGGGGTTCCACCAGCGAGTTGTAAACCCGAACCTGCCCCAAAAGGAGGGCAGCCTGCCCCAAAAGGAGGGCGAAGGGTGAGGAGGAGATGACCTCCCCTCAGTTCTGCTCCCCGCAGAGGAAACTCACGTGCACAGGAGGCCTAACGACGGCAAAAAGCACTGTCATCGTCCACCACCCTGTATATTACCTTCTTGCTGAGGAGGGGAAAATTAATTCAGAAGGAGGAGTAAGAAATGAAGGATTAAGAAAGAGAAACCCCGAAGCCACGGACACCAAGCGCTTAACTAACTACCCCCCAATCTGTACGTTCTGCAAAACTTTTAATAATAAGAGCCCAGTTAACGAGACGCCGCACTCCGAGACGACTCAGGGGAGGGAGGTCCTCCAGGGCTGGCAAAGAATTCGCACCCGGCGCGTCGCCCAGGGCGCGGGCGACATTCCTGGGACTCAGCTGCCCGCCGGCCGAGGAGGCATGGTTCGGGCCGCGCTCACCTGCAGGTGGCTCACGGCCTGCTGCAGCGGGCTCAGGTACAAGTAAGGCACGCCGCTGCCCGCGCCCGGGGGCCCGTCGCTGAGCGACAGGACGTCGGCGAAGGGCCAGCCGCGCACCGCCTCCTCCGTGGCGACGGTGGCCAGCGCGCCCCAGTCGCAGACGTGCGCCACGAAGCGGGCCACGCGCGCCGCGTCCTCGCGGGGCGGCAGCGGCGGCAGCAGCACGGCGGCGTCCCAGTCCCCGTGGTCCCGGCCGCCCCGGCCCCGCGCCGGCGTCACCAGCAGCGCCACCAGCGCCGGCGCCAGCAGGGCGGCGAGCAGCGCGCGCGCGGAGCCGCGGACACGCCCGGCCATGGCGGTGGCTGCGGCGACAGTCCGGTGCCCGGGGACCCGCAGGCCCCGCGCCCGCCCGCTGGCCGGCCTCCGCCTGCCGAGACGGGCCAATGGGCGGCCGGGACGGAGGGGGCGGCCCCCGGCCAGCCCCGCCCCCTGCCGGACCGGTCGGTCTACCTTCCTCCCGCTGCACCCCGCCGCTCTGGCGGATTGCGAAACGGTCCTCTGGTCGATGTTTGTTCTGACAGATGGAAAAACAGAGGCTTCAAGAAATTAAGCCACTTGCCTAAGTCATAGCACTAGGAGAGGACCAGCCTCTTCACACGCGCACACCCTCCCTTCCTTTAATACCTTGGGATGTGGCTATCTGGCATCTGAGAGGAAATGCTGCATTCTCTACATATGCTCCTCTTTATTCTTTACTCCACTATCCGCACCAAAGAGCAGCCAGGGTCCCAGTGGCCGAAGACAGAAGCCCCAAAGTTTAAGACTTATAAGACGCTGCTCCTGGCCCGGGAGTCTCTCAGACAGACGCTCAGGGGTTGTTGGTCTGCTAGCAGTATTCCATGCACGAATTTCAACTCATCCAAACTGGCTTGGGATCTGTAGGTCATCAGGCTTGGAGTCAATGGTTTCATAAATTTATTGCCCTTACTTACCCCCCTCACCCCATGTATGTAGCTTTTCCTAAGCTGGTGTCTTCCACTCTTTCAGGGGGGCCTCCCCCATTCTCATAGTCTGGGAAGTGGTCAATAGCTCACACCATGCGACCTACAGTCATGATCATCGTAAGCTCTGGTCACATTTCCTCAGAGTGAGTCCTAATCTTTTTGGCCTAGCCTCAAAACCCTGCCCTAATTGTTGTTATAAATGCTGCCTGGTGTAGGAGTTGGTCAGCTTGTAAATCTGGCTCTCCCAGGAGTGTTGATCAACAGAGATGAGCTAACTTCACTCAGCTGCTGTGGGCCAGGCCTGGGAGCAGGTGTGGGCAACAGGTGTGTGAGCCCCAGTCCCGCCTCTCCTTCACCCCGGACTCAGCCTCGCACCTTCAGCCAAGATTCTCTTGCCACTCAGAACTCACCTGTAGAAATAAGACTGTCTACTCTGAATAGGAGCCTGCAGTTCCCTCTGGTGGTCAAAGCGTGTTACACACACTGCTTTCACATTCAGGGAAGGGGAATGAGAACAACCCTTAGTCCAACGTTGCTTCCTTTTCAACAGCTGAGTTTAGAAGAGCTTCAAGCTAGCTGGGAAACTAAGTGGGAGAAATTAGAGAGGAGGAAAATCAGGTTTATCATTTTCAAAACAAGTACTGAATGATACCAGCGATGATATCAGTTTCCCTACAGTAACCCCAGCACACATGGGGTTAAAACCAAAAGCACCCATCCCGGTTCCCTGCTTCTTTAGTTACACTCCTGGTAAATATCGATTTCTTTAACCTTCGTATCCCTGAGCTTCACAGATCCGTGAACCTAGTGTTGAGATCAGACCATGGACCTTCCCCTCACACAGTGCGCATAGAAGTTTCAAATTGTTAAAACCCAGGTGGCCTCACACTGAAGTCTTGGCTAATTACGGGTCCTTGAAGTTTATTGCAGGAAAACTGATGTCCAGAGAATATCAAGAAACTAAGTTACCCAGACCCCAACTCCTCGGCTTCCCAGTGCTGGAATCCACCATCCATCACAGAAGCAGACAACCAAGGACACTCACCTGCAGGTTCCCTTACCTTGCCACCCCCTCCCTGCACGTAGACACATTCCTCTGAATGTGCACTCCTGTCTCCCCACTGACGTCACCCCAAATTAACCTCTTTCCTTGACATAAGCCTGGCCTTCCAGATTTTGTCCCCATCCTGTGCGGTGGGTAAACAAACCTGTGTTTGTGCTCGGTAACATTAATACAAGTAGTTTGGGTGCCTGCCAATTACAAATATTTATCCTTAACCTCTTACGGAAAGAGCACACACAATCCAGATTTGCAGTTCTGGTCTCAGCGCTGCCCCTATGAAGTCATGTGACTGTGAGCTTTCATCTCACCTTTATGGGCCTTGGTTTTCTCATCTAAAATGAGAAGGTGAATTAGATGATTTCTGACACCTCTTCTGGCTCTATGTTCTATTAAAATGCAAAATATGGGCCTTTTGCAAGTTTCAGAATATGAATAATATTTTTTTGCAAGAGGATCAAAAATATTTTTTGTTAACTGCTGTGCCACTTGCTGCTGGCATACGAAATAACAATACGCCCTATCATAGCTCCATGACAAAGCAGGTGGCTAGAACGTGGTCTCCTGCATCAGAGCGTGAGAAGGAGGCCTGCAAACCCTCCAGTTTTAGGCACCTCTCCTCAGTGTCTGTCTTTGCACTCACTGTTCCCTATGCCCAAAATGCTCTTCCCTCAGCTATGGGCATGGCTACCTCTCTGCCATCTGGATCTCCACTCAGATGTCACTCCTCAGAGGTGCCTTCCTGGCCACTCTTTCTAAGAGGGCTTCCTCCATTAGTCTCCAGTGGACAATCCTGTTTATTTTTTTCCTGGCAACCATGGTGCTCTGTAACAATCATATTTATTTAGTTATTTGTTACTTATCTCCCCTGCTAGGATGTAAGCTCCAGGAGAGCAGGAATGTTGTCTATCTTGTCCACCTCTGCATCCCCAATGCACAGAGTATGCACTCAATAAATATTTATTGAATGACTGCCTGACTTAATGAATCATATCTGGTTGAATTCTTTGCACACAGAGTCTTATAAAATCAACAAGAGGAAGTGAGGACGACTGAATGGAAACATTCAAGGATAACAGTGGGTGTTTCAGCTCTTAATTAGCAAAGCCTCCTCATTGGGGTATTGGGGGAAACCCTTAGTAAAGAGTGGCTGTGTCAACCGTCTCAGCTGGACTTTCTGTCTATATTTGAACAGCCTGAGCTGATCCCCACCCACCAAGGGCCCACTGGGAAATAGTGATCTTCTTACCTTGGGTTCGATCCATCCTGTCAAGAACTGACCCTGCGTGCTCCCTCTTTACATGGTGTCACCCTTGCTTATTTGTCTGGGTCACTCCCAGCCCTAGTTTTCACTGGGGTCAGGGGCAGTGGTTTCATTATCTCCATACCCCGGCATGGAGCACAGTGCCAGGTATCTGGCAGCAGCACCCAGTACATGCTGTTCACCAAATGTCTCTCGGTTCACATTGTCTATAGATGGCCCCCAAACCACTTGTTTATCAAACATTTGCTTTTCCATCTCTTTGTAAATTGCTTTCCTCCTCTTTGAAATCCCAAACCTCGGCCTCCAACATCCTCCTTTGTCTTTAGCTAAAGACAGTATTTAAGGTGGTGGCTTCGGCCATTTTGGTGACAGTTTTCCTGGGTCTCTCCCATGTATACATGTTATTAAACTTTGTTTGATTTTCTCCTGTTGTTCTGTCTCATGTCAGTTTAATCCTTAGGCCAGCCAGAAGGACCTAGAGGGTAGAGGAATGGTTCTTTTTCCCCTACAGGTGCCAACCAAGCCCTGGGCACTGAAATAGGTGCTGAGAAATTAGATATTAATTAATAGACATTGTTCCTGTCCTTAAGGGAAACTTCTGCCTAATTAATTCACAAATCCAAAAATTATAATTCAATGCCATCAGCATGATGTGGAGGACTTACAGGAGGCAGAGGAGGTATGGAAGAAAGAACCTCGGCCTACCTCGGGGGAAGGCTTCATATCGGCTGTAATTCTGGAGTTGGAACTTGAAGGATAAACAGAAGCTTGGCAGACAATGAGAAGGTGGGAGAGAGAAGGAAGGGAAGAGGTATATAGAGAGGAAGTGGAATGGACACAGGCGAGGAGACATAATGTGTTGGGAAAAGCAACTGAAAGTTGAAGGGAGTGTGAAGAACCAATGTGGGAGACAGGCATGTCCCACAGGGTGGGGGAAATGTGTTAAGCCAAGAGCTGCACTGGTCTCAGGATCTACTAGGAATGGATCTGCTCCTAAACTCATTCACATGGTTGTTGGTAGGATTCAGTCCCCTTGTGTGTTGTTGGATTGAGAGCCTCAGTTTCTTGCTGGCTGCTGGCTGGAGGCCTCCTTTCATGCCTTGCCACATGGGCCTCTCCATAGGGCGGCTCACATCATGGCAGCTGGCTTCCCTCGAAGCAAGTGAATGAAGGAGAAAGAGAGAGGGCCAGCAAGACGGAAGCCAGAGGCTTTTTGTAACGTTCTAATGATCTCAGAATGATATCCCGTCCCTCAAGAAAAGGAGATTAACATAGAACATGAACACCAGGGCGTGGGAAAGACAGGCAGATGGGATGGGCACAATGACACGGCTTTAGTGTTCAGTTATGAATACAGTTATTGTGAATTCAGAAAAACATCTACAAGTTATGTTTATCTTCCAGTACAGCTCTCTACCCTCCCCTGGTCTCGTGCCCGAGTCTAGAAATGTAACATGATGGAAAGGGGAAGCAGGGACTAAAAAAAACCTCAACCACATAAACTGAAAGTGCATATGGTGGCAATAATGTGAGGCAACAGTCGACCCCAGTGCTGATGATGCCCGGCAGCTGTGGGTAGCACACAGACCTGCAGTGCCTGACACAACATGCCCTGTGGATGTGGCTCAACTAATGGTTCTGACAAGAGAAGAAGGGCCCTTGTGCAGCTGTGTAGACAGTGGAGGTTGAGCTCATTTGTTTGTGAGCCCGTGTGAGACAACTTGGTGATGGGAGAGGCTTGGAGAGGAATTGAGGTCCCACTGTCGGGGGTGGAGATGAGGGCCATAAACCTAGTGTTACTGTTAATATGACCCATTTCGTCTCCCAGGCAAACAGAAGCTACCTATGTAGGTAAAGCTTTCATTGGAAAGAAGGAGAAACTATTAGCTAGCCAGAGACTGTGAGGTGAAGAGGATGTTGGCATGGTCAGAGGTCTTAAAGCAGCAGCTCTGGACTGCATTCAGCATGGCTGTTTCTTGCACGCCCGCCGATGTTTCTCTACAACCTCCAAAAGAGGCTCAGGCTCGGTGTGAAAATCTTCACTTGTCAAAAGAGTGGATGAGTGGCGTGGGGAAGCGTCGGGGGATGGGGAGTGATGGGGCTGTTAACAGTTT